GGGAGGCCCAAGCATGAACAGGAATAGAAGTCAGAAAGTGGGGAGCTGGAAGAAAATCTACACTGCCATCTCAGGCCAAGGGGCTATCGTATGCACAAAGCATCCCCACTCCCATCAGGAGGCTCTTTCAGCTTGTGCCCTGGGGGGTGGATGGAGGTGCCCTGGAGTCTTGTCTGGTCCCTGGTTCCACAAGGAGATGAGGAAGATAAGGCCTGACAGACACCAAGCCAGGCTGGGCAGACATTCCGGACAAACTTACTGAGGTATTCCAGATCTCTCATGTCCCACGGTGGGTAAAGAAGAAAGGAAGGACATAAAGGCTTTCCCTGGGGGTGCCAGAGTCACTGATATTACTCCCTTATTCTCCTTTCCCCCTAACCCCAAAGGGTAAGTGCACACCACGGGGATTAAAGTAAGAAATCATTGTGTCAGAGGCCTTCCAACCAGAGTGACTCCATCTTGAACAGGGGCTGGATAAAATAAGGGTGAGACCTGCTAGGCTACATTCCCAGGAGGTTAGGCATTCTTGTCACAGGATGAGATAGGAGGTTGGTGCAAGATACAGGTCACAAAGACCCTGCTGATAAACCTGGATGTGGTAAAGGACCCAGCCAAAACCCACTGAAACCATGATGGCAATGAAAGTGACCTCTGGTCCTCCTCAATGCTCATTATATGTTACTCATAATGCATTAGCATGCCAAAAGACACTCCTATCAGTGCCATGACAGTTTACAAATTCCATGGCAACACTCAGAAGTTATCCTATATAGACTAAAAAGGGGAGGGATCCTCAGTTCTGGGAAATCTCTGTCCCTCTCCATGAAAATTCTTGAATAATCTACCCGTTTTAACATATAATCAAGAAACAACCATAAAAATCACCAACCAGCAACCCTTGGGGCTGCTCTGCTTATCCATTCTTTTCTCCTTTACTTTCCTAATAAACTTGCTTCTCACTTCACTCTGTGAAATTGCCTTGATTTCTTTCTTGTATGAGATCTGAGAACCCTCTCTTGGGGTCTGGATCGGGACTTCAGTTTTTTTTTTTTTTTTTTTTTTTTTTTTTTTTTTTTTTTTTTTTTTTTTTGAGACTGAGTCTCACTCTGTTGCCCAGGCTGGAGTGCAGAGGCGTGATCTCGGCCCACTGCAACCTCTGCCTCCTGGGTTCAAGCAATTCTCCTGCCTCAGCCTCCAGAGCAGCTGGGATTACAGGCACACACCACCACACTCAGTTAATTTTTGTATTTTTAGTAGAGATGGGGTTTTATAATGTTGGCCAGGCTGGTCTCAATCTCCAGACCTTGGGATCTGCCTGTCTCAGCCTCCCGAAATGCTGGGACTACAGGCTGAGCCACCGTGCCTGGCCTGGGACTTCTTTCTAGTAACATCTTCCTAGCGACCATGAAGGGACTATACTGAAGAGAGTCCTGACCCAAAGGAAAAAGACTGCAGCACCAGTTGGCCACTCTGGATAAGTGGTGGGGTACATTTTACCCTGGTAAAGGATGGGACTGGGTTAGAAGCCCAATGTAGGAGAGTTGAGTCCCTCCCAAAGAGAGAGGAGACCATCTCTCTCCCTTGCCTGTTTCCTGTTAGAAAAGCTGGAGAGGGGAGATAAAATAGCACGAAGTTGAAGTCAGTGGTTGAGAGGCTCCACCTGCCTGACCCCAGCGGAGTCCGAGGATGGAGAAAATAACTCGCCTCTCTGTAACTGGTGCCTATGTCATCTGTAAGCCTTGAAAGTGTTGCAAATGTTTTTCTTACTGCCCAATGACTTTCCCTGAGTCATGTACTCCCCATCTGCACCAATCAGAGCACCCTCCCTTGGAGATGCCTCTGTCACTAAGTGATTTACTGCCTTCATTCAACTTCTGTAATGCTCTACCCCACCCCCATGTCCTGTGCACAGCACATGTAAATTAGCAAATCAATGAAAGCGAAAGACTACTGTCAGATGTCCAGCCAGTGGGCATTGACACAGTTTTACCTCTACTCCCCCTTGTGTTGTATGTCTTTAAAAAGGGAAAAAACTCCTTTTCAGGGAGCTCAGCTTTTTGGACACTAGTCAATCCATACTCCACAGCTAGCTGAATAAAAGTCTCTTTCTTCCTCACTCTGGTGTCTGAAGGGTTCTGTCAGCAGCTTTTCCTGCAACACTAAGACAAAGGGGCTTAAAGGCCCCTCTTAATAAAAAACAAGGACACTTGACCAAACTTGGGTTAAAGTCTTACCTTAGAAAAATTAGAGTCTCTTCTAAGACGTAGGGTATAGCCGGGTGCAGTGGCTCACTCCTGTAATTCCAGCACTTGGGGAGGCTGAGGCAGGTGGATCACCTGAGTTTGAGACCAGCCTGGCCAACATGATGGAGCCCCGTCTCTACTAAAAATTACAAATATTAGCTGGGTGTGGTGACACACGCCTGTAATCCCAGCTCCTTAGGAGGCTGAGGCAGGAGAGTCACTTGAACCTGGGAGGTGGGGGTTGTAGTGAGCTGAGATTGTGCCACTGCATTTCAGCCTGGGCAACAAAGTGAGACTCCATCTCAAAAAAACAAAGCAAGTTTGGGCGTGGTGGCTGATACCTGTAATCCCAGCACTTCGGGAGGCTGAGGTGGGTGGATCATGAGGTTAGGAGTTTGAGACCAGTCTGGCCAACATAGTGAAACCCTGTTTCTACTAAAAATACAAAAAATTAGCCAGGCATGGTGGCACGTGCCTGTAATCCCAGCTACTCAGGGGATTGAGGCAGGAGAATCACTTGACCCAGGAGGTGGAGGTTGCGGTGAGCTGAGATAGTGCCACTGCACTCCCACTGGGGCAACAATGGGAAACTTCATGTCAAAACAAACAAACTAACAAACAACATAATTGCTTTACCTTATATACAGGTAATACATGTATTGACACATACACAAATACACCTCTGAGGCCTGCAGGTCCTCGCCACCTCTATTGGCTCCATGGGTCTGTGAATTCCAGGGGGGCCCAGCCACTCTGCCTCAGCCATAACTGGATCTGCAGGTCCCCACACAAGCCTGTCATCCAGAAGTTGTTCGACAAACACTCAAGTGACCAAACCCATCAAGCCCAGTTTTTGGAGAAGGCTGGGACTCACCTTGAGTGAAGGGATATCCTTGGCGCGGATGACGAATTCGTCCCCCTCTTGGAAGATGCCCTCTCTGCCACTCTCACCGGCCTCCTTGTCCATCTACCCACACACATATGGGCGCCATCTCCTGCTTCTTGGCTAGGTGCAGGAACCAGGTGTCTGGCAGCTCAGGGTCCTCAGAGGATGGGGTAGTGGGCTCCTTGGGAGGGGCAGCCAGTGGGGAGGAGGTTGGTGGGGGTGGCGGTGGAGGCAAGGGCATGGCTGATGGCTGTGGCAGCGGCAGTGGTGAGCTGGGTGTGGGCGCTACCAGCATGGGTGGTGAGACCTGCTGACCTTCTTTCTTTATTGGAGATTGTGGATTGAGGGTGAAACAGGGGTGAGTGGCTAGTTTCCTTTTTGTTTTTTTAGATGGAGTCTCTCTCTGTTGCCCAGGCTGGAGTGCAGTGGTGTGATCTCAGCTCACTGCAACCTCTGCCTCCTGGGGTCAAGCAATTCTCCTGCCTCAGCCACCTGAGTAGCTGGGATTACAGGTGCATGTCACCATGCCTGGCTAGTTTTTGTATTTTTAGTAGAGACAGAGTTTCACCATGGTCAGGCTGGTCTTGAACTCCTGACCTCAGGTGATCCACCTGCCTCAGCCTCCCAAAGTGCTGGGATTACAGGCATGAGCCACTGCATCAAACCCTATGATCATTTTAGAGAGACAGTTTAACCACTACCTATCACCTGATGGTCACCTGACATTCCTGGGTGTGTGAGGAGGGAGCCCTCTCTTGTCCTGCTCCTGTCTGCCTAACTACCTACTCTAACAGATGGAAAGAGATGATAGATAGGGAGTGGGGAGAGAAGTAGAGGAAGGGGTTATAGAGAGAGGAGGATGGAGAGGAAGGGATAGAGAAGAGAGAAAGGTAGTTAGGCGTAGAGGAAGAAATGAAGAAGGGAAAAAGAGAGAAAGGATTTAGAGTTGGAGATACATATCTGAAAGGAAATACAAGAAATAGAACATTGGTTGTCTCCACAGAAAACAACTTGGTGGGCGGGGCGTGGTGCCTCATGCCTGTAATCCCAGCACTTTGGGAGGTGGAAGCAGCGGATCACCTGAGGTCAGGAGTTCAAGACCAGCCTGGCCAACATGGTGAAGCCCCAACTCTACTAAAAATACAAAAATTAGCGGGTGTGTTGGCAAGTGCCTATAGTCGCAGCTACTAAGGAGGCTGAGGCAGGAGAATTGCTTGTACCTGGGAGACAGAGGTTGCAGTGAGCTGAGATTGTGCCACTGCACTCCAGCCTGGGCGACAGAGAGAGACTCTGTCTAAAAAAAATAAATAAATAACTTTCTTGTGGAGGCAGGGGGTAAAGGGTAAAAGACACTTTTCATTGTATATACTTTTTAAAAAAATCTTTTAAGTTTTGATGCATATGACTAGATTATACAAAATAAAACTTTGACTTAAATCAATAAGAAGGGATCCTGGCTTTGCCATCTTTCTGTGTGGCCACTGGCAAGTAATCTCCTGGAGTCCAGGTCTATGACCGGGGTGTGCTGTTAACTACGCAGGGGGCTGTTCTGAGGAGCCAGAGGATCTCATAAGCAAACCTCCCAGCACCGTGTCTGGTGCATGCTGCTGCTATCATCAGCACCCCCCGCAATAAATCCGAGCAACTTTGGAAGCATCCCATCACCTGTCTGGGCCTCTGTTTTCTCATCTATCCCCGTGGAGGAATAATGACCAGATTCACAGGGTTGGTGCAAGGATCCACCAGGAGAGTGCTAACACCTACCGGACGATCCTTGTCTGGACTTCATGCCTGGATGAGCTGGTCACACCCCCAACACTTGCCCATCCACCTCAACTCAAGTCAGGGGAGATGGAGACACAGACAGAACATGCTGAAAGTGGTTACTTTATTGGTTGGAAAAGGGAGAAACTGTGGTCAGCCCAGGAGGGAATACAGAGGCCAAAAAAGGGGGAGGGCAGGTGGGCTGGAACCAGATACAGGGCCAGGCAGAAACTTTCCCTCCCCACTGCTCAGTCTGGTGGTGGCCGGAGCTGGAGGAAGAAAACCATAATACCATCAACAACAATATCCACAGGACAAGAGTACTTTCAGGTTAAATCCTGGACCAGCTCCTTAGGCCCACCCCATCCCACATACCCACGTAGCAAAGCCTCACCTTCTTGGGGCTCTGCTTGCATTTTCTACAGGTTCTAGACATCTGTTTCAGACCATCACTAGCAGGCATCTGGTCCCAGCTGTCCAGTGTGGCTTTCCTGAGGGGCCATAGCCATTCCTCTCCCTAAGAATCCCTCTACTAGGCTGGGCATGGTGGCTCACGCCTGTAATCCCAGTACTTTGGGAGGCCGAGGTGGGCAGATCACGAGGTCAGGAGATCAAGACCATCCTGGCCAACATAGTGAAACCCTTTCTCTGCTAAAAATACAAACACTAGCTGGGTGTGGTGGCGCATGCCTGTAATCCCAACTACTCGGGAGGCTGAGGCAGGAGAACTGCTTGAACCCAGGAGGTGGAGGTTGCAGTGAGCCGAGATCATGCCACTGCACTGCAGCCTGGCGACAGAGCAAGACTCCATCTCAAAAATTAAAAAGAAAAAAAGAATCCCTCTACTATCAGGAAGTTCCCAAGCCTTGATTTCTTAGCTTAAAATGGGACTTGATGATCAATTAGGTCTTATTTAGCCCCATTTTATAACCAAGATAACTATGACTCAGGGAGGTGAAAAGGTTGTGTCTGCACTAACATTTGAACCCGGTCTTCTTGACTGCAAAGACTACCCATGCAGTTGGCATCTGAGAGCACTGGCCCCAGGGAGACCATAGCTTCATTTAGAGAAACCATAGTTCCCTCTCGGGCACTAAGAGTACACCTGCACTCTGGGCTTCAGTGGTCTCATCTGTGCACTATTGCATTCTATCAGTTATCTTCAGGTTCCTTTGCTGAGAAATTGTTAAAAGTAGCACATGACAACCACGAGATTTCAACCCAAGGGCACCAGCCAGCTCTTGCTTATCCTGTTCCCTCTGCCTGAGACTGCCTCCCCACTGAGGCTCATCAGACTACCCCCTTTCACTCTTCTTTTAGAACGGGCTGAGGGTCACCCTCTGGTATGTCTTTCCCAGCTGTCCTTGCAACTGTCCTCCCTTTCCCTCTGCCTGGGCGACGTGTTCTCCTGTTTTCCACAACGCCTGGCCATTGAAGCACTTTCTCTCTCCCCTTCACTTACCTCAGAAATTGGGAGTGACACAGGACACCTTCCCACAGCCATTGCGGCAGCATTTCATCCGGCCAGGACACTGGCTGTCCACCTGGCATTGGTCCTGGCAGAGGCCGAGTTGGGGAAAGACACTGTTTACCTGGGGGCAGGAACCCTCCTTATCTGGAGAAAAAGGAGTAAGGGTAAGTGAACAGAGGGGTATGGGGAGATGATCTTGTACCTGCCCCTCACTGGCTTCACATGCAGTGGAGCTGCCTGCCTGAGTCCATCTGGGGCACCTGAGCTGCCCTCATGAGGCACAGGAAGATCACCTGCAAATCCCTCCTCCTGCTCCCAAATGGAATCACAGGACCTCAGCTTGAGTGCCAGCTCTGTCTTTGTGGGACTTCATGGCCTAGGGCCAGAAATCTCACAGAGCCTCCATGTCTTCAGGTATCAGTGGAACCAGTGCTACTCACAGCATGGGGTTATTGTGAAAGCAGTGGAGACAAACATATATTATTTCTCCCTGAAAGATCAAACTACTCTGTAGTAATAATGAGAAGTTATAATGGTGAACACTTAATTAGCTCTTACTACATGCCAGGTATTATGTTAAGCACCTAACATACATTAAATCTTCTAATTCTCACAATAATCCTAAAAGGGGAGCGAGATCTGTCAATATTTCCTTGTGTTACAAATGAGGAAACTGAGGCACTGAGAGGTTAAGTAATTTGCCTAAGGTCACATAGAATTGAGGCAGAATTTGAAACCTGGGAAATCTAGCTCCAGAGTCTACGTGTTAACTGCTGCTGCCATGGTTAAGCATTATGCTGCCATGTAAAGGGTGAAGTGGAGTACACATGTGAGGGGTTACACACTTATAACCTTCACTCATATCCATAGACCTAACCAGCCAAATCCATTCATCAACTGAAGGACATCATGGTTGCTTCCAACTTTTGGCAATTATTAATAAAGCTACGAGAAACATTCATGTGCAGGTTTTTGTGTGTAAAACACAGGGCGATTAGCTGCAGAGGACAATGAAAGTGGCCAGATCACTGTGAGTGGTGGTTCATGGCTATAATCCCAACACTTTGGGAGGCTGAGGTGGGAGGATCATTGGAGCTCAGGAGTTTGAGACCAGCCTGGCCAATGTGGTGAGACTCCCCCCTACTAAAAATACAAACAAATTAGCTGGGTGTGGTGGCATATGCTTGTAATCCCAGCTAATTGGAAGGCTGAGGCAGGAGAATCACTTGCACCTGAGAGACGGAGGTTGCAGTGAGCCAAGATCATGCCACTGCACTACACCTGGAAAACAGAGTGAGAGACTCCATCTCAAAAAAAGATTTTTTAAGTGACTGACAGTCTTGACTTCCTAGGACAAAGAAATTCATTCTCTTGAAAGGGGTAGGAGCCTTCAATATTGGTCTGCCTTGGGAATAAACAGGGAACCATTAATGATGAAAACAAGCCACTGTGTGTAGAGCATCTTCTCACTAACAGACACTTTACATGCATTATTTCATTTAGCCCTCGTGTTAGTTCTATAAAGTTTGGAGTTATTCCCATTTGACAGCAGAGGCTCACAGAGATAAAGCATCTTGCTCGGGATCACACAACTAGAAAATGGCAGAATTAGGATTCAAACCTCTAGGCTCCCTCCCTGGCTCAGGAGGCCATCTGACTTTGTCCCTCTTCCTGCCCCAGTCCCTCCATCTGAGACAAGGGAACAAGTTCTTCATCCATCAAACAGCAAATACCCGCCCCTTTCCTCCTCCACCTCTTTCATCTGCCTGCCACCAGCATTCTCTCCAAATCTTCCTCTCTCCTGATCCTCCTCTCCCTGGTCCAGAGGGGCCTCCTGACCTGGATGTTGCCCTTGGTGGCTGCCGGTCCCCCTCCACTTCCCACCTCCCTGCTGATCGGCTTACTACAAACCTTGCCAGCCTGTGCTGGCATCGTCTGGGAAATAACGAAGAGGAAAAGTCACCGGGGCTAAATTCTAGTTAAAGACCATCATTGCAGTACCTTGTTTTTCTCCAGGTCCTATCCCTGCCTCTAAACCTCAGCATTTCCCTCTGGAGAACGAGAAGCTGAGATTCCATGCTGTCTAAGCCACTGCCTGCTCTCATCAGCCTGGTGGAGACACTGCAGCTCCAGCAAGCACTTTTGAGGGAGCCCCCAGCTCGCGCTCACTCAATCCTTAGAGGGGAAGAGATTGACTGAAAGACAAGGACAAGGAAGGGTGATAAATTGTCCAGGGAGGAATCCTCACTTTCTTCCAATCGCTCAGCCAGTCGGCCCGAAAGGCCAAAGTTGAACCCTCACTAGGGCTCCTGCAGCCCTAGTGAGCTGGCGGTGTGACCTTGGGCAGGCACACTTTTCTCTCGCTGATGCTCCCTTCCACAGCTCTAAGATGAGCTGGGCACTTGCCTAAATCTGTGAAGTTCCTTTCCGCCTGGACAGAGGAATTGGGGAAAATCTTGCCAGGCCAGGCGCTCCCCAGTCTTTCCCTCAGGGCTGGGGGAGTCCCCCAGAGAGGGACTCCAAGAGGAGAGGTGAGCGCCCCAGGCTCCGGGCTTTCCCGCAGGACAGGCTCTGGCCTGTCCGAGAAGGAAACTGCGGCCCCGGGTCCCCAGGCCGCGGGGAACAATGTCTCAGCTGTGCGTGCCCGGAAGCCGGTCATGCACCAGAGACTCGAATCCAGCTAAGGGTGCGGACCCCCCTTGGCTGCGCTTCAACGACGCCTTTGTCTCCCCCGGGGCCGTGCGAGAGAGAGCACTGGGGGATCTGGTTTCATCTGCCTCGACTTTCCCGGGGGTTCCCGGTTCCAGGGCGCCCCTGTTCCCGGAACTCGGGCGCTCCCGCCTCCTCCAGCCCAGAGCGGCCGGGGCCGGCCCCGCCCCGCCCGGTCCCGTCCCAGCTCTGCCGCCTTGAGGTTACCATTGGGCAGAGTGCAGAAGGTGGCGCAGCCCGCGCTGCAACACTTGAGGTTGTCCGCGCATTCGTTGTCGGAGACGCACTCCTGCGTGCAGTTCTGGTCAGCGTGGAGCTCGGGGCACACGCCCATCTTCTCTGCTCCTGTGCCTGGGAGGGGAGGCCCGGGACAGTCGAGGGTGGGGCGTGGCGCCAGCCTCCGAGGATGCCCACCTCCTGCTCCAAACCTTAACTCCAAGGAATTCTCAGCCTCTGGTCCTAGGAGTCCCCTTACAGCCCCCAGAGACTCCCACTTCCAGACCTCGGGTCCCTGACCCTCGGGAGTGCAAGAGCTCCCTAACCAGGGACTTAGGCAGCTTCCAGGACGGGACCAGCTGCGGCCGGATCCCTGTCCACACCTCCCTCTGACCTCCCTCCTGGGGCCGGTGAGCCAAGGCCCAGGGCTCCTGGTCTCTATTCCCTTGGCGTTGGAGCCCTCAGATCTCAGCCCTAGGGGACCCCGCACAGCTGAGTGTCTAGGAGCTTCCGAGGTCAAAGCAGAGCACCCCAACCCCCTGCCCACTGCCCCCACGGAGTGTCCGCCTTCAGCACAGAACCCTCCCAAATTTCAGCCATCAAAGGTCTCTCCACCTCCAGCACTTTGGACCCCACATCCTAGGCTCCAAGGGTCACCATCCTTAGGCCCCAGGGGACCCCTCCTCCACTTTCACCCCAGGAATTCCCACTTCCCCAGCCTCCACAGGCTACGCCTCCGCCTGGCTCCATCCTGGCGCTCGCTGGTGGCTCTGCCCCTCTGGGCGCCGGGCCGCTCCCCGCCCCACTCACCTGGGACTAGAGTAAAGCCGAACAGCAGCAGGCCAAGGAGCAGGGCGGCGGCTAGCGGGCCAAGGCGACTGGCAGGCATGGTTCTACGCCGGGGCGGGGTGCAGGTGTGAGTCGCTGCTCAGGAGCGGGGATTTAACCGCGCGTAGGGGAGCGGGCGTGGGGTAGGGGCGGGGCCGAGCGGGGAAGGGGAGGGTAGAGGGCTTTGCAGGCACCGCGTGCGGGCAGGCTGCCACCTCAGGCCATTTCACAATGCCCCGGGATCAGGTAACACTCTTGGCCCCAGTGGGAACCAGGAACTTACGCAGCTTCCAGGACGGGACCAGCCGCAGCCGGACCCTTGTCCACTCCTCCCTCCTGGGGCCTGAGAGCCGAGGACCAGGGCTCCTGGGTTTCTATTCCAACGCTCTGAGGTTTCTTCAGAATGTCCCCTCCCCACGTTGAGGAGGACAGGGCAGGGCCCGCAGGGAGGCAGTAGAGCAAGCGGATTAAAGGGTTCGATTTGGGGTCAGCCAGATGAGAAGGCAGATCCCCCTTGATGGAGGGCTAAGATAGTCATGCCGAGCCCATCGTAGGGGCCGGAGACATAGCACTTGTAATTAACACACGAACCCACCTGAGCAGAAATAGGCCCAGGAAGGCAAAGCGCCTATCAGTCTCAAGGCATTTGGGTATGTGTTTCTGCCTCCCTCTCTTGGTCCTACCAGCCCCTGATCAGGGCTGACTGTGCCAGGCTCTGTGCTCCTTGTTTCAAAGAATCATCCCAGCAAACCTCTGACCTGGGAGTTACTGTTCTCAGCTGTATATGACAAAGGAACTGGGTGTTCAGGGATTTAGGACCCCACCTCCACCACAAGGTCCCATGCAAAGCTGCACAAACAAAGTTTTGAACCCAGGCCTTTCCCTCCAGGCCCTTAGTTTTTCCATTCCATTGTAAATATTCACTGGGTGTCTGCTACGTGACATTTATAGGGCAAGACACTTGGCGAAGAGAAAGTCGTCAAAAGGGGCCCTCCAGCACGGGTTTTGAAGGGGTGACAGGGCCTGGGGTCTGACTCCCACCTCCACCACTTTCCATCTGAGGGGCCTTGAATGAATCCTTTCCTAGATCTGAGCTGCCATGTCATCTGTGAAAATGACACCTATCTAAGACTTCAGTGGGAACACAAATGCAATGTTCCTGCCATGGAACAACCCAGTACTCACTGAGAGCATAGAGTAGATCCACATTGACTGACACAGGGACTCCAGGTCTGACCCATGATAGGCACTGGATAAATGGAGTAAGTGCTCCGTACATTAGTGTCTCCTGTGAGTAAGGAGACCGATAAGTGTAAATCAAGCTTTAGAATTCAGAGTGTTAAGTGCCAAAACAGAGTTACCCAGGGAGTTAGGCAAGAAGTGCCTTCAAACATCTTTCCTGCTCCAGTTAGTTGAGGTTCTGGAAGCCCCAGGAGGTCTTTGCTGCTGGAGGCTAGAGGGGGTCTGGAGCAGGAAATGCTGGGATGACAAGGACAGGTGAGTAGCGTTTGGTGATGTGAGTACATCTGGCCACTGTCCCCAAAATGGATGTTGAGAACACTTCCCCCAGCTTCTCCTGCTCAGCCTGGGGACTGGGGACATGCCGTTGTTGGGAGGGACCAGGGCTATTTACTCTGAGCTCAGTCAACAATGAAGGCAGGAGGCAGGTGGGGACACAGCCCATAGCAGGCTAATGAAACCCAGTGTAGGGCACAAAGAGAACACAAATGAGCAGCTGGTTTTTAGTCCGTGGACCCAGCTGGCTACTGGATATTCAGCCCAGGGCACGGCTGCCAACAGCTTTCTTCCGGGACCTATTCAGCTCCCTGGGCCAGGAAACTGCCCAGCCTTGCCCCTCCCAGGCCCTTATGGGCACCCTGTTGATTGGCTCTCTCTTACAGGAATGCAAACTGAGAGAGGGTGGCAGGGCCAGGTAGAAGGATGGGGAAGAAATTTTCATCAGCCAATGGCATCACATGTTTAGGTTTTGTGGTGCCAAACTTTATGCTAGGTATAGTATTATATATTCTCTTTACAATGTTTAAAAGGGCAGAGGCTTTAGAACCAAATGCATCCAGGTCCAATCAGGGCCAGTGCATCCATGGCCTCTTTCTGGCTATGTGACTTACAGAAACACTTCACTTTTTGGACCTGCATCTTATTCCTGCATGAACTGTGTATCATCCTAACTGTCTTGGAGGTATTACAAGGGTTAAAGGAAAAAGCATAACCAGAGGTTGCAAATCTGGCTAGAACACATACATTAACTACACAGTATGTTTTAAAGTTTTAAGTTAGTTGCCAACATTTAAAAGTAGGGAATTTCATATAAAAATAAACCTCTAGCTTCTCTTGGAAAAAGTAAAAGATCTGTCAACACAGTCCTGCAATCTTACATGTAACAACAATTAGCTAGAGCAGTGAGTCTCAAAATCGAGCATGCAACAGAGTCATTTTTTTGTTTTTTGTTTTTCTGAGACTGAGTTTTGCTCTGTTCCCCAGGCTTCCCTCCTATCTCCTCCCCTCCCATTCCCTCCTCTCCGCCTTTCCTCCCCTCCCCTCCCCTTTTCTTCCCTTCCCCCACCTCCTGGGTTCAAGTGATTCTTCTGCCTCAGTCTCCCAAGTAGCTTTGATTACAGGTGCCACTACACCCAGCTAATTTTTGTATTTTTAATAGGGACGGGTTTTCACCATGTTGGCCAGGTTGGTCTCAAACTCCTGACCTCAGGTGATCTGCCTGCCCTGGCCTCTCAAATTGCTGGGATTACAGGCATGAGCCACCACACCCAGCCTAAGCATGCATCAGAATCACTCGGAAGGCTTGTTAAAACACATATGGCAGGATCCTTGTCCCCAGAGTTTTGATTAGTAGGTCTGTGGCAGGATCTGAGAATTTGCATTTCTAACAGGTTTCCAGATGATGCCAGTGCTGCAGGGCTAAGGACCATCTTTGAAAACCAGAATCTAAGTAGAGCTACTCTCTATGAGGGAAGCATTCCCTCCAGTTTCCCATAATCCCTACCACCACTGACCCCCATCTCTGCAAATACTTCCATTCACAGTGCTCACCTGATCCCAGGAGGGCATTTAAATTTGTGACCTCTGGGATGGGCACAAATAAATGTTTGGCGAAAGATAGTTTATATTTATTTAATAATTAGTTTATATTTATTTAATAATCTTATGGATTAAGTATTATTACTCTCATTTTACAGGTTAAGAAACTGAGATTCAGCTAAGCAAAGTGATTTGATGGAGGAAACACAGCTAGTAAATCAGAAGGAGGATTTTTGCCAAATTACTTGGGTTGTCCCAGTTATTTCAATATTATACACTCACACAGATCTATCTGAGGTTAACATAGATGATGCATATGAAGTTTTCAACATGATTTCATGAGTGGTAAAAAAATATTTATTAGGGAAGAGGAGGAAGAAAATCAGCAGAAAGGGAAGATGGAAGTTTATAGTGGTAGGTGATGTCAGTCAGCTGTAGACAAGTCCACTCTAAAATGACTGTAAACAAGTTAATGGTGAAAATTTATGAAATTTCCAGGAATAAACAAGGTATCTGTTGGAAATTGATATTGGAAATAGATGCTTGGTGCCACAAAGAAAAATCAGCACTGAGACAAAGGATCTTTCAGCAACGCAATTTTTACTTCCCAGGCTGCAGGAAGTGTACATTCACTAGCCATCTTGCCACAAGAGTACAAAGAATAAAGGGAATACACACAAATTTATTCCTTATGCATTTGGGGTTGTCCTTACTGCTGCGTCTGATCTCAGTTGGCTGGAGCCAGACCTCAGAATTTAAACTAAAACCTGATTGGCTAACAACTTCAAACTTTTCTAAACAGGTAAAAGCCATAGAGAGCTGGGACATGCCTGTGAGCATATCCAGCACAGATATCTTGGTTAAAGTACAAGGACACAGAATGTACTATGTGCCTGTAAGCACAGCACATCTAACAGCTAGAGAGAATATTTTGCAAAGCAATCCTAGGATTTCTGTAATAACGAAGTTATTAGCACACTTATTCTTTAACAAGAAAGAAAATTTTAAAAAGGAACTTTTCTACTTCCCACAGTGTCTTTAACCATACTGTGGGCCTCTCCT